TGGATTGATTCAGTGACTGGGATAATTGGGATGGGAGTGTCGGAGACAGTGCGATTGGCACAGGATAGAGCAAAATTTAGGGCTGTTGTACATAGGGTCGCCATGAGTCGCAAGCGACTCGACGCCACATAAGAACAACAACAACATATCTGGCAGTAATGTTCTGAGAGATAATTCATGTCTTCACAGCCATTTTCTGCGGTTTGTTTGGGTTTTGTTTTGTTTTTTTAACAGGTGAGTTACTTGTATGTGTTTATGTTCTCGTGTTATGACAAAGAATAGGTAAACAAATCTTCTGATTCTAAACTTGGCTTTTCTGCATTTTTCGTTACTTTAAAATAATTTAGGATTTTGTAATTCTTTACAGGACAAGAAGAATTAGAACATGGAAGGACAGCAAAGTAGATGTTGATTTTTCAGTCTTTCTCTGTTATCGATTTCTGTATGTCTTTATTTCCTACTATAGGTTCTGACTCCATATGCTATTTCCACCTCAATGACAAAATATTTAAACCCCAACATGATAACCAAGACTTCTAATGAGTTTGTTAAAGAATCACTGAATTATGTTACAACTGGAGATGAAAACTGTGGATGCCTTGTCCATGAAATCTTGGTAATTTTTAACTTATTACTTGAAATTATGTGGACAGGTGTATATATAGTACTAGTGGGACTTAATAAGCTCTTTTAAGGACTTAATATTTGCCTTTATGGTAAACATGGTAATGTCAGAAGATGTGTTACTGAGGAGTAGTATAGCCAAGTAAACAGAATGTGTAGCAAGAGGGAAAGAGTTGCCTAATTGGTGCAAATAGTTAATTACTAGTTAGTAATTGAAAGTTTCATTCCACCCTGGGGCACCTTGAAGGAGAGCTCTCCCCTCTCTATTTTTCCCTGAAAGGCCATCCAGTGGACCATATTTCTACTCTGCCACATGTGGAGTAATTGTGAGTCAGAAACCACTCAATGGCAACTTGACATTTTTGTTTGTTTAATAAGAAAAATCTGGATACCTGAGTCCTAAGTTCATATATGTCTCTAATATGGAAAATTCTATCCTTGGCTGGCTCACTTTTCTCCTCATAAATTGGCTCCTAGGAATTCTTGGGTAGGAGATAATGAGGATCCTTGGAGCTTCATGGAGGGCTACAATAGTTCCCCCTTCCTTTATCCAGTGGTGTATTGGTAAATGTTTTACAACCCATTCTCAAGGTGTACATGGGGATACAGTTTCATATATATCAACAGCTGATTTTCATGGTATACATTTTCCTACTGGGACTGATTTTAAGGTACCAGTATGATCTCATACAAGATGAAATTTAGAAAAAGACACACATGTATTTCTAAGTACAAGTAGTTCCAGCACAGAAGAGATGCAAAGAAGATTCAAAGGCATATTACATGAGAGGTTTCTGACATACCTGGACTACTTTTAAAAACAAATATAAGGTGAAACAAGATAAATGAGTTATATCTAGATAAGATGACACATTAAAACCAAAATGAAATAGTGTTAATGTAGTTCTGTTTCTCGACTACTCACTGATGTCTACTCAGAAGTAACTCATAACTCACCCCCAGTGTGTTTCCAGATGTTGTAAATCACACTGGAAGAGATGGTCCATCTTTCTATGACAGAACAGCTGGTGGATTTGAACCACCTACCTTTGGATTAGTAACCTAGCTCCTTACTCTTTTGTCAACCAGAACTCTCAATTATGTTTCTACTACTATCAAATAATTATAAAACTGGTATTTTATCCATTTTAAGTGTAATATTTGGTGGCATTAATTACATTCACAGTGTCATACAGCCTTCATCACTATTTCTAAAAATCACTTTAAAAATCACCTAGTACCCATTAAGCAATGATTCCTCAATCTTTCCTGCTCCTCAAGATCCTTAGTAACCTCTGGTATAGTTTATGAATGTGCTTATTCTAAACATTTCATATGAATGGAATAATAAGATTTTTTTCCTGTTTTGTATAAAAGTTTTGAAGCTTTATCCGCTTGTACCATGTATGAGAACCTTTTTTCTCTTTCACACCCAATGATGGCACAGACTGTAGGAAATTGCACTAGTAAGTAAGAGGTGATAGCTCACTGGTGGTTTGAATCCATCAGTGGCTCTGGAAGAGAAATGTGGATAAGCACCCATACAATTTACAACCTTTTGAAAACCTACTGAAAGGGCAGCTATGAGTCTATTCTGATATAATGGTAATGAAAAAGAGACAGAGATACTCCATTAAATAAATATTTCATTTTGCTTGTTCATTCATGTGTTGACTAGCTCTTTAGTTGTTTGCTCTTTTGGCTATTTTTAATAAAACTGAAATAATTATTGGCATAGAAGTAACTGTTTGAATTCCTGTTTCAAGGTTTTGACCATGTACTCAAGGGTAAAAAAATTGCTATGTTATGTGGCAAAGTGGAGTGGTCACTAAAGTTTTCAGCTGATAACTGAAAGGTTGGTGGTTTGAATCCATGAGAGAGAGATGTAACAATCTGTTTCTGTAAACGTTTATAGTCTTGAAAACCATAAGGGACAGTTCTATGCTACTCTACAGGGTTGTGATGAGCCAGAATTGATTAGAAGTATCAAACCAAAACCCAAACCACAATTATCCAGGACTGGATATAGAACTACGGTTTGCTTTTTATGAAATGCTAAAAGCCTCAAATTCTTCCCTGCCAACATTTGGTATTCTTAAAAATAACAACTAAATTATTTCATTAGAGTTTCCCTAGTGACTAGTGATGCTGAGCATATAGATCCTTTTTTTTTTTAGAAACATCTATTCAGATCTTTGGTCCATTTAAAAAATTTTATTATTGAGTGGTAGAATTCTTTTTATTCTCTAGATATTAAACCATTTTCAGATATATTTTTAAAATATTTTTCATTCTAAAAGTTGTTTCATTTAATTGTGTGACCTTAAATTGTTGTTTGTTGTTGTTATGTGCTGTGGAGTCACTTGCAACTCACAGCAACCCTGTGTACAAGAGCCCTAAAGTCTGCTCTATCCTTTGCCAACCTCACTGTCTCCAACACACCTACTCCCACTACCCCCAATCACAGAACTGATCCATCTTATCAAGGCTCTTCCTATCCTATGCTGTCCCTCCACTCTTCCAAACATGATGTCCCTCTCCAAGGACTGTTCCCTGCTTGCAACATTCTCAAATTATGTCAGATGAAGCTTCAGAATCATTTACTCCAAGGAGCAGCCCAGCTTCACCCTCTCCAGGACAAACCTGTTTGTTCTCCTAGCGGTCCATAGTATATTCAACACTCTTCTTCAGCACCACATGTCAAAGGCATCAATTCTCATTCTGTCATCCCTAGTCACTGTTCAGCTCTCCAATGCATAGCACGAAATTGTAAAGACTATAGCCCAGATCAGGCACACCTTAGTCTCCAGCCTGATATTGCTGCTCTTCAGTACTCTGCAGAAGTCCCTCACAGCTGACTTTCCCAAGGCAATTCATCTCTTGATTTCCTGGCTGCTGTCATCAAGAGTGTTGACTGTGGAGCCAAGCAAACTAAAACTGTTAACTATGTCAATCTCTTCACCATCTATACTGATGCTGTCAATTTGCCCAATGGTAAGAATCTTTGCTCTCTTGATGTTGAACTTCAATCTGTATTGAAGGCTGCAGTCCTTGGACCTCCTGCAGCAAGCACTTCACGTCCTCATTAGCTACAGACTCGAGCAGCATGTCGACAGAGAACTGCCAGATGTGCAGGCTGGGTTTAGAAGAGATCGTGGTACTAGGGATCGTATAGGTAATGTTATATGCATCTTGGCAAAAAGCAGAGTACCAGAGGAATGTCTCTCTGTGCTTCATTGAGCATGCAAAGGCTTTTGACTGTGTGGATCACAACAAGCTGTGGCTGACTCTTGTTGTTTTGTTAAGTACTGTCAAGTCACAGGCGACTTATAGCAACCCTATGAAGGAGATTCCTCGACCCTTGTGTGCCTTTCTTCCTCTATCCAGGTTCATACAGTTTCCGGAGACAAGCTATTATGGAAGTGGATGTCACTCCTCCTTTCAAGCTTATTTTCATCGGGGAGTTCCACACCATTCTCTGTCCGCATTGGGTAACCAGCCATTAAGGCATTTGACACAACCACAAGTGACCACTGTACGGCAACTTGTACACCAGGGCTGTATGACCTTCAGGAATGTCTGAAAAAAACAAAAACAAAAACAACGAAAGACAGGCCTGACGGCCACAGGCCCGAGGGCCCTTCAGTGTCTTAGCAGTCCAGCCCAGCATACCCAATTGCTGGGAAACTCCCTGCCCCAGACCCCCATTCATCTGGCAAATCCGCTCTGCCAACCCCCTCGTGGGCTCCAAAGAACCACCACGCATGCTCGGAGTCCTCAAACCTACCATGCCTCCAGAAGCCAGAGGCAGGATTCAGCTGGCTGACTCTTAGAAGAGTGGAAATCCCAGAGTATTTAATTGTGCTTATGCGAAACCTATCCTTTACCAAGAGGCAGTTGTCAGAACAGAGCAAGGAGACACTGCATGGTTCAAAATTGGGTATAGGTCTGCCAGCGATGTATTCTATCTCCATACCTTTTCAACCTGCATGCAGAACAGATAATCCGGGACTCTGGGCTGTATGAGGATTGGTGGAAGATCAATCAACAACCTGCGATATGCAGATGACCTCAAATGATGTGTTGCAAAACTTTGCTACACCTGTTGTTACAATCACATTTTGGGACAAAGTTTCCTTTATCAAATTAGTAAAACAGTTGGTTAGTGGAGGGTATGCTTTAAGTCAACATCTTTTGAGATTAAAAAAAAAACCCACCAAACCAAAACCCAAAATCAGATTAAGTAAGCACAGATGGGAGGTAGAGAGATGCTATTCTTCATGATATTTCAAAGGAACCAAGAAAGAAAGCCAGAATGCTGAATTTGAAGTTTTCATTTCCTAATCTATAAGAAGATATATTTTTATTTGTTAAAAAGCCAATTACTTGTGGTGTTTCTTTTATAATGTTGTTAGGTGCCTTCAAGTAGACTCCAATTTATAGTAATCCCTTGTACAACAGATCTAAACTTTGCCTGATCCCAAGCCATCCTCACAATCTCTTCTGTGCATTCATTGTTATAGTAGTCATTGTGTCAGTCTAGCTCATGGAGTACCTCCCTTCCTTTAGTAAACTGCTAATTTTCCTGAGCATAATATCCTTTTTAAAAGAACAGGTCCTTCCTGATAACAGGCCCAAAGCATGTAAGACGATATTTTTTCATTTTTGGATTGTTCATTACTGACACTTGAAGAATCTAACATGGATTATCTTTAATTATCCTTTACTTGTAATGTTCTCCATTGACTACTGAAAATAACTAATAACTAATTATCTTTTCATGTGCATATTGATCATTTGTGTATCTTCTTTAGAGAATGTGCACATCATTTGCTCATTTAGAACCATAGTGGATTCTGTGCCATTTTGCTTTTTAAAGAGTTCTATCTATGTTCTAGACATTAAGCCACTATTAGTTATATATGGTGTGGTATGTGTGCCATGTTAATACTTTGTACCTAACTGGGACCACTTTACACTCATTAATTCAGGTATTTGCTTAGCATATACTGGAAAGGCATACTTAGATCATGGCATACATTTCAGATTCTTTTCTAGAATCTCATTTTAGTAGAACTTGGTAGAGAGAACATGAAGGTACTGGGAAATGAATTTGGAGTAAAAAGTACAAAGAGAAATATTACTCACAAATTCAGAGAATGAGAGAAGGCTTAACCTAGAAATTTCCAATGGTGAGTATCATATCACTTATTGATGTCAAGTTGAAACTCATAGCTGCTCCTCCATTGGGTTTCTAAGGTTATAAATCATAGGACAAGATATTGTTCCAATTACCCATGAACCATGGTCTCTAGATTAGCAGTGCATCTCCCTGTGGACTAGATCACCAGAGGTCCATCTAGAGATACTGTTATGTTCAAAATGATAAGGTAATTTGACTTTGTGTCTGAATATACTTGTTTGTGGGGAAAATTGCCAGTAGATTGTTAAAGCTTAGCCACTTTTAAAAAAAGTACTTTTAAAGATTGTAATGATAAACTAAAGTGTTTTTATCATAAGTTCTTTTTACCCCAGATAATCACATTTTTGTCTTAAATGTATGAAGGCAGGTTTCCTGCAGCTGATACCATCTTGGGCTTTCTACAGCTCTGTTTTTCAAAAGTTCTTCCTGACTCAATACTCAGATTATCTAAAGCAGAATGTCAACAACAAGAAGTTCAACACTGGACAAGTGCTGGAATCCAACTTTGCTTCTCGTTACCAAGTTCATGTCTAGTGAGGAGCATCAGAGAAGGCACCAACTCCCTAAATCCCCTTGAGCTCTAGAGAATCCCTGTTACTAATATTAGAATAAAAATGTTTTTGCAACTTTTAAAGTCTGAAATTTCTTTGGAAAAGCTATAGTATAAAAACATATAGTAAATAGAATTACCATAAACCAAAACCAAATTAATTTCCCTTTAATTAATTCATACTCAATGACCCTATAGGACAGAGTACAGCAGCCCCATAGAGTTGCTAAGTCTGTATTCATTATGGAAGCAGACTGCTGTATCTTTCTCTCCTGGAGGTACTGGTGGGTTTCAATCACTAATCTTTCAATTAACAGCTTAGTAGTAACCTAACTACTGTGTGCCCATTGCTCCAGAATTACCATATGGCTCAGTAATTCCACCTCTAATTAGACTTGAATTCAGGGACTCAAGCAGGTATTTGTGCACTGGTGTTCATTGCAACACAATAGTCATGGAAGCCAAAAAGTGGAAGAAGCTCAACTGTTTATTAACAGATAACTGGATAAACTAATGTGGTATATCCATTAAATGGAATATTATTCAGCCAAAAAGAGAAATGAAACCCTGAGACAAGCTACCATATGGGTAAATCTTGAAAATACGCTGAGCAAAAAAAAAAAAAAGCCGGACATGGACAAAAATACTGCATAATTCCCATCTATATAAAACAGTCATTCATAGAGACAAATGTTTACTAATGGTTACCAGGGACTGGGGAAGACAGTTATAGAGAGTTGTTACTTAAATGACCCTTGTATCAGTTTGAGATAATGAAAAAGTTTGGGCATGAATATGATGAATAACTAATGCTACTGAATTGCACACTTAAAAAATTATTAAAACAGCAATCTTTACATTCTGTTTATGTTATATATTATCACAATTAAAT